GGGGAGATTTCAATTCTTTAATGACCCATTGAAAAGTAGTAGTGCAATGTCAAAATATGTTACCTAAAACAGTATTTTGTGAGAAATGACATTATAAGGCAATGCCACAAAATAGGAAAACAGTTTTTTAAACAGACAATCTCTATTTCCTGTAGGACTTTTATAAAATCCCGGGATTTATATGACTATTGGCTGGGATTATCTCCAGAGAAGATTACATCTACTTTAAGTTGGATGAGATAGTCAACTCCCTGACTGGTAAGTAACCATTATTTTAAATTTGACAGTTAAGTTGAGTAGACATATTTTGCTCAGGATATTGTGCATTCAATATTCCAATTAAATTAGCTTGAAGTTGAAATTGCATTTTTAAAAGAACCTTTTCTATTAGGTTTTCTTTGATGTATTTCAAAATGCAGAAAGTTGCCACAATGTCTTGTTATTATTTTGACAAGTCACTAAAAATTTATAGTAACAAATTATGGAGAATTTCTGTAAATAATGCTTTCTAAGAAAATTATGGAAGTTCACAAAAGTCACTGAACTCTAACAAATACTTAATATTGTCTAATATCTGTGATTCAAAGATGAATGAAAGATTGATTTTTTAAAGTTACTTAATCATCAATTATATGTACAGACTGTTAGAATAATTCTGGAGATAAAAAGAGCATAGTGTGATAAATGCTTCAGTAAGAATGCACAAATAGGGCCAGGCGTGGTGGCTCACCGCCTGTATCCTAGCACTCTGGAAGGCCGAGGTGGGCGATTGCTCGAGTCAGGAGTTCGAAACCAGCCTGAGCAAGACCTGTCTCTACCATAAATAGAAAGACATTAATTGCCAACTAATATATATAAAAAATTAGCCAGGCATGGTGGTGCATGCCTGTAGTCCAGCTACTCGGGAGCTGGAGGCAGCAGGATTGCCTTGAGAGAGCCCAGGAGTTTGAGGTTGCTGTGAGCTAGGCTGACGCCATGGCACTCACTCTAGCCTGGGCAACAAAGCAAGACTATCTCAAAAAAAAAAAAGAATACATAAAATAACCAAAAATAAATTTTAGTTTTTGAACTTTTGTTATAACTGACATTAAAAATGAGCATTTTTGAATAAAAAATTTAGAGACTGGCTAGAGCATTTCAGGTCAAAGGTGATAAAATAAACTTTGGCATGGTATCTCACATACATTTTATATAGAAAACAATTTGTTATGTAATACATTGAGGAATGTGGTTATAAACACCCTATTATAAATGATTTTATTTGCTCTGCTTGTAATGGAAAACATCAAGGCGTTCTATAAAAACAGTGCCAAAATTTCATTTGTGTTTTATAATCCTTGAAATTTTAGAAACAAAATAGTACCAGACTAAAGAAAGAAGCCAGAGCTCCAATCTGCTGGATACTGTTGGAAGCTCACTATTTAAGACATATTTTTTAGTTGATGACAATTTTGGCAGGAGGTTGCTCAGAGGCAGTGTGTTGAGGTGCCGCCACTCTGAGTCTGGGCACTGAGGTCTCTGCATGCTCATCACATTGAACCACACCACAAACACAAATTCTTGTTTTGTTTTATTTGTTTGCTTTTTCCTTCACATAGAAATGGTAGCTATAGGACTGTGGGTCAGAAAGACAAGGTGGCCCTATCACTGGTGGTTGGTGATGATACAACATACAAATGGAGGGGAGAAGGATATATATTTTAAAGGTCTCATTTGGAGTAAAGGACTAGGGTAAAGGTGATGTGTGCGTTACAAGAGAGTATAGATGGAATCTTGTTTTGAAAAAAGTAGAATATACATGTGCTTTTTGTATTTATTGCAAATGGGAGAGTAATCTATAATGGAATGGAAAACATTGTGGATATTTTAAATTATTATGTAATACAGAAAAATGTATTATATAAATGTGTTAATTCAGAAAAATACATTATGACACATGTATATATATATATAAATAATTTCCTTTTGTTTTTTCTTCTCAATGTTATTTTGGGGCTTGTTTCTGGAAAGGGGTTGATAATAAATGACATAAATAAATAAATAACTTTATCACCACAAACAAGGAACCTTATTCTTAAAAACTTAATTGGTGGCCGGGCGCGGTGGCTCACGCCTGTAATCCTAGCTCTTGGGAGGCCGAGGCGGGCGGATTGCTCAAGGTCAGGAGTTCAAAACCAGCCTGAGTAAGAGCG